ATTGACTTTTTTAATACTATATAAACTTGTGATATTGTATTAGTTTTTTTATTTAATAATATATAAAAATTATAAATAAAATTTATAAATTATTCACGTATCATCTAATTTTATTTTATTTTGCAATTAACACTACCTTACTTTTTAGACTAAAAAAAAAGGATTATTATGTTAATAAACCCTTACATTTCGGAGCCTTTTCCTAATGTAATGTAGTTAATTTTGTAAGCACCATTAAAAAAAAATAAAAAGAGTTGAAAGCACAAAAGAACATAAAATTTTGAGTATTAGGTAGAGTACATAAAACTATAGTAGTAAGAAAGAGAAGTGGAAGCTGGCTTGGGAACAAACAAACCAAGCCTCAAAAATATGGTCTTTAATTAAAAAAAACGAAAAGAAAGCACAAGTAAATTTGGAGACTGTCGACGTTCCGTATATAGTCAAAATGAATGAATGAATGAATGAAGGCTGCAAGTCCAAGCACGCAGTGCGCTGCGTCAGAGCTTGCACGTGCTTCTAAGTTCCAATTGCCTGGCTTGGGCTCCCATTCTGTCACCCCACAAATATGCATCTCTATCGTAATCATGATCACTTCCACGCCGTGTGATGAAGATTCTAGAATTGATCAGGACAGGACGACGGCGAAAATGGAGGATAGGGATGGAACTCTGGAAGTGCCCAGCGTGGTAGATGATGTACCTGATTGAGGTCATCGGTCCTGCATCTGCATGCATATGTGAATCGATGGACCGCAAGGGGGTGTTTGTTTTTTTGCTTTTTGTTTTTTGTTTTTTGTTTTATAAAAAAAATAAAAAAAAAGATACCTTGATATTTATTTAATTTAAAAAGAGAATTGTGTTTATCAAAAAAAAAAAAAAAAATTCAACTCGTCTTCTTGTAATTGGCTTTACCAGTATGTAACTGTTTTTTTTAAAACATTGGGGTGGAACTTGAATCTTATATCACCAAGTCACATGTAAGAAAAATTCTTTATAAGTAAAAGTGATCACTAGATCATATGGAAGTTTTAGACTATATTATATAATTAGAAAAGTGTTTTTACTACAAATTACATTTTTTATGTAGTATTAGTATTAAAATTATTAAAATACTCTTAGTATCATAATTCATTATATTTTATTTATTACTAATATTTTAATAATTTTAATACTTAAATTACATAACTTTTAAAATATGCAATCTACATTAAAAAATACTAGGTTAAACCCCATTTTGGTCTCTCAACTATGGTATGAACTTTCGATTTAGTCCCTCAACTCAAAAAAATCCTTGATTTGATGCCTACTGGGTTCGATCGATGAACCTAGCGGCACCTACTAGGTTCATCGATTGAGCTGAGGAGGTACCAAGCAACGTCACTGGGTTCGATCGATGAACCCATCAGGCGCTCCTGGGTTCGATCGATGAACCCAACAGGTGTCGCTAGGTTCATCGATTTAACCCAAGAGCGCTTGTTGCATTCATCGATTGAACCCAACAGGTACTGTTGGGTTCAATTGAAGAATCCTTGATGGGTTTGATTGAAGAATGCTGGGTTTGATTGATGTACCCTTGCTGGGTTTGATTAAATCGAAGTGGGTTGCTAAAGAC